CAGTCACCACGTCAGTCCACCTGGTTGAGGGTCTTCACTTCCTTTGCCAACCTTCTACCCTTCCTAACATCATGTCCCTCCCCAAGGAATAGCACCTCCTAGCAATTTATCCAAAGTATGTGAGGCGAAGTCTCATAATAACTATCAAAAACAACATTTCAATCTGTCCTGAAGTAGTCACTGTCAGTTATAAAATAATATGCACAAATCTACGAAGAAAACAAGTTAAAACAACTACAATTCAAATTTATGCATCAAATATTAATACCAAAGCTGAATAATTTTCTTTTTTACATTCTAAAATTGATCAAATATTCAATTAACATTGATAATTACTATTGATTTTAATACTTAAATTTGAAATAAGGAAGAATTTATTATTATTAGATGGTATCAAGTCAATTATGATTCATAGGAACCCTACAGAGGAGAACCTTGCCCTATCCTCAGCCATCATCATTATTGTAGTCACTGTGTAAATCCATCTCATTGCGGAGCTTCATCTCCTCGACTAACCCTTTATCATTACCAGAATTTTTCCCCCCAGAGCTGGTTTCTCCTGACAACATGCCTGTAAATAGCACCACAATTGCACTTTCTCCAAGACAGATTTGTTTGTTCTTTTGGCAATCAATAGAAGAATCAATAGATGGGAAATATAACCTTAATAACAGAAGCAATACTAGGAGTCACATGATAGAATTTTGCAAGACCAATAATTTAGTCATTGCAGACACCTTTTTTTTCAGCTACATAAATGGTGTCCACACAGTGGGCCTCACTGGATAGAATTGTTGTTGTTGTTGTTGTTGTTGTTGTTGTTGTTGTTGTTAGGTGCCGTCAAATTGAGTACGACTCATAGTGACACTGTGAGTGACAGTTCTGAACCCTGTCCTGTGCCATCCTTACCATCTGAAACACTTGAGCCCAGTAGTCACTGTGTCAAGTCTATCTCATTGGGAGTCTTCTTTTTGCTGACCCTCTATCTTTCCAAATATGATATTCCTTCTTGGGATCAAATAGATTATATTTGTTGAAAAGAAATGGAGAAACTCAGTCAGAATAAGGCCAATGGCTACTTGTGGGGAAGACCATCAATTACACACATGCAAGTTCAAGTTGAAGCTGAGGAAAAGTAAAACATGTATATATGAGCAAAAGTGCCACTCTGAGTATCTTTCCCTCACGCATTGCCAATGAGTCAGTCCTGACTCGTAGTTTATCCTCTAGTGGGTTTTGGAGGCTATAGATAGCATGGGAGATGATTGCTCATCTTTATTTCACAGAGCCACTAATGGATTTGAACCACCAGGGAGGAAGCCACCTTTGTATTAGCAGGACAACTTCCTACCCACGGGTCATTAAAACTCTTTCCTTCTAATAAATAGGTGCTATAACTTGAGTATATTGTTGTTGTTGCGTATCATCAAGTCAGAACTGACCTATAGCTGACCCTCCAGTGGGTTTTCAGAGGCAGTTTCATTGCATAGGAGGAGATTGCCATGCATGCCTTTGGGATTGCAACAGTTTTTCACCACATTTTATTCACATATTAATGACCAAAGACCAGACAAGTTATGAGATGACATCAAGCACATCTAACATGAAGAAAGGCCTTTAAAAGGAAAGGAATGAAAGAAAAGTTTAAAATGGATTTCAGAAAGACTCTGAAACCTGCTCTTGAAGTAGCTGATGTAAACAGAATAACCAATGTGGTAAAAGAATTGAACAGAAGATTTTAAAGTGTGGCATGAGAAGACAAAGCAAAATATTCTATAGATGTGCACAAAGACTTGAAGCTAAAAGGAAATAGCATGGTTGACATTTCTCAATCTGAGAGAAAAGAGGGGGAAAATCAAGTCATGAGGTGTAATATTAAAGGATTCTGTAAGCAAGATATTGAACCATACATGTATAATCAGAAGTAGATGCAAAGAATTCAGAGATACCATATCAAAAAGAGTTGATCGATGTTCAACCTTTTCAGGAAGTAGTTTATGTGATATACAAGCAGTAGAACTGAAGGCGGGGTGGAGTCTAAGCTGCATTGAAGGCCGTGGTGAAAAAAAAACTAGCTCAAGGAGTTGAGATGTTTCAACAAAGGAATGCAATGCTGGAAGTTATCATCTATGCTAGGAAATGTGAAAGGCAGCTTCCTGACCCATTGACTGCAAGAGATTTATATATTATTGTTCATTCAAAAGGAAGGTGATATAGTTGAATGCAAAGATTATCATGAAATACTATATAATGCATCATATACAATACTACATCATACACAGTAAATATTGCTGAAGATAATCCAAAAACATCACAGCAGTCCATCAACATGGAATGGCCAAACATTCATGCCAGATTCGGAAGAGAACTTGTAACAAGGGCTATCACTGCAATGTCGGAAAGGTCTTGGCTAAAAGCAGAGAATACCGTAAGGATGTTCACTATGCAATATTGGTTATACTAAGCATTAGACTGTGTGAATAATAATTAATATGGATAACATTGCAGAGAATGAGAATTCCACAAAATTTTATTATGCTTACACAAAACATATACATTGGGGCTCTTGGGAGAGAACAGTATGATTCTGTGTAGTTTTAAATTAGAAAAGGTGTGTGTCAGAATTGTATCCTTTCTCCATGCCTATTCAATTGCATGCTGAGCAAAAAATTTAAAAAAAACCCAAAACCCAACCACACCACAACTGAACTCTACGGACCCAGTGTCAAAATAGGAAGGAAGACTCTTTAGCAACCTGCATTATGCAGATGACACAATCTTGCTTGATGAAAGTAAAGACAGCTTGAAGCACTTCCTGATGAAGATCAAAGACTTTTTGTATGGATTGTACTTCACCATAAAGTAGAGAAAAATTCTCACATCTAGACCAGTAGGCAATATCAAGATAAACAGAAAAGAGTTGAGTTGTTAAGGAATTTCATTTACTTGGGTCCACAATCAATGGTCATAGAAGCAACAGTCAAGAAATTGAATGATAAGTACATTAAAATTCTGCAAAGGACATTTTTTAAGGGTTAAAACATGTAGATGCCACTGTGAGCACTATAGTGTGCCCTGGTGTTTTCAGCCGCCCATCTATATGTGCAAGATAAGCTAAAATAAGGAAGCTGGGGAAAGAATTGATGCCTTTGAAGTGTGCTCTTGATGAGGACTATTGGATATAGTCTGGGCCACCAGTAGAACTAACGAATCTACCTTGGAAGAAGTACAGCAAGAATGCAGTTGTGAGGCAAGAATGGCAAGACTTAATCTCCTAGGCATGTTACCAGGAGAGGTCAGTCCCTGGAGAAAGACTTTAGGCGAAAGACTTTAGGAGAAAGTGGCGGGTCAGTGACGAAGAAGTACCTGAACAAAATGAATTAATGCAGTGACTGTACCAAGGGGAGCCCGCACAGCAGCAATTGTGAGAATGGCACTGGGCTCTGAAATGTTTCCTTCATTTATACGTAGGGCTGCTATGATTTGGAAGGGTCTGCATGTTTCCTAGCCATAAACTATGCATGTGAAAACAGAACAGTGAAAAAGGAAGATCAAATTAAAATGGACTCATCTGATTTTTGGTGTTGCTGAAGAATATTGAATGCTCCATTGACTTCTAGAAGAACAAAAGTTTTAGAACTTTAGAAGGTTTTGTTTTGGAAAAAGAAAAAAACAAAAAAAAAATGCTGCTACCAAAATGTTCCTTGGAAGCACTTTGTCTCATGAGCTCTGGACATGTTATCAGGTGCCAAACTTGGTAAAATAGAAGATCAGAAAAAAGTGGTGGATAAACCTCAGTGAGATTGATTGGCTCAAACGTGACAACAGTGTGAGAATTGCACAAGACTAGGTATTGTTTTCTTTCGCTATGCACGGGGTTACTATGAGTTGAAACTGTCTTAATGGCACCTAACAATAGCAACAACAATGGTTTATTGATAGTCTTGTCAGAACTATCAGGGTTTATTATAAAGGAAAAACAAAATCTCGTCAGATAATCAGTGTAGAGATTATAAAATTACTGTCACCTCACTCATAAAAAGAAAAAATATGTGTTTGATTTTTTAATTATTTTGTATTTAAATGAAAACAATCAGATCTCCAAACACAGTTACCCTGAAGACCTCAATTACAAGACACCTATTACTGTTCTGAGCTTCAAATTGGGTTCTCCTCACAAAAACAGGGAATGTTTTCATCGACTCAAAACAACAATAACAAAATTAGTTTTGCTGTTTCCCCACCACTGGCATTTTGAATACAATTTTATTATCCGCTGTGGAAAAGGGAAGGCATTTCCAGGACCGCTAATGTTCCGATAATCTGAATATCTTTCTGGAATTTTGCAGGTAGCTGGTGCTCGTCCACAGAATATCACTGCTGGAGGCTAAATGTTACTGCAGTCTCAGTAACAGCTCAAACCTGTCAGCAATATCTTTTCTCCACTAAAATATGTATTTATGTATACCACAAAGAACACTCATTCCAAGAATTACAACATATGATGTGTAATTACGAAAATGGGTCTAATTGTGAGTTTATTTGTGTTGTGATTTCACACAAACAGCTAGCTTTCCAAGCGTCCATTTAGAATGGATCACTCGGGAGACAAACACATCCATTGCAAAAGGTGCGGGGACCAGTAACAATGCAAAAACCGAGCCCAGAGCAGTTATTCTGATCTGGTACTTATTGGTAAAGTCTGTCTGAAAATACAGATAAATTATCCTATCTTCCAACACAAGGCTATGTGAAAAATGGCTGTCGAAATACCACTTCCTGTTCGTAGCAGACATGCTATACATTGGGAATGTGCAGAGAAATATGATAAAGTGTTATCACATCACTACAGGCTTAAACACGGCTATGTCTGCAAAACAGGAAGGTGTGTGAAGGATAATGTCTGTCTTTAGGCACTATAGTATGTCAAAACCACAAAGACAATGTGCAGCAAAAGATAGCTCCATCCTAACCACTTTTTTTTATGATTGTCTTCACAGACTGAGATAAACGAAAAGCTGCAAATACAGGAAGAGGCCTTTAATGCACGAATAGAAAAATTGAAAAAGGACTGAGAACTCGCTGCAAAGAAAGTGACGTTAACTTCACAGAAACCGACAAAACCAGCCGGAATAATGGACTTTCCAAAGCAGCATATTACCTTCATTGTAGTTATGAGGGGGACAGCAAGCCTCACTTCTGTTACCCTAAGTAATTATAAAAGTATTGGCCCCAATTTTGTTCTCTCTTGTCCCATAACAAGCTTGTGAATCCATTGCACCGAGTGTAATAAGACCATTTTGCATACAAGAATTTAGAGACTTATGTAGAAAACTACAATTACTTTTACGATCTGCCTTTGACATTTTGACTAATAAACACTATTCATCTTCAAAGAAAATGAAACCAGCTTTTTTATTTTTTTTAAACAGCCAGAAATAAAGGAAAATAATAATAATTTTATCCACACTGACCCAGATGAACTGCAGTGTTGGCGCACAATGAAAAGATACCAGCGCTCCAGTACAGAAGAAAATTTGCTAAACAATAGCAATTCAAATGCATAGACTAGCACTTGGGTTTTATCCCCTCCCTTCCTCAAATCATTTGGTTTTTCTTATTTATACATTTCAGTGTGAAACCAATTTTCTGAAATTATATAATGCAGTTTGAAGCACTTTAATTTATTCTGTACTGTATTTGTTATTTCTAATCTTGTTACTCTCCCAGGAGAATACATGACCTATATAAAAAAGAAGCAATGTATAAATGGTTATTAAAGACCAACCTATATATAGACTATAAAAATCTTAAATATAAATCAAACTCACAGAGCTCCTAAAATTAACCATTATATTGCAGTAGAGTGATTAAAAATGTCTCAAGTCTTTGAATACTTTTATTAAAATATAATTTCAGAAGAAAAATATCCATTTGCTAACTAGAGCTTTCTAGTATGACAAATTAAACTAATTAACACCCCAGTCTTTTGTCTGTCCAAATTTCTTAGAGTTCAGAGTATTTACCAATGAAGAGCATTTGCTAGGAGGGGGCTTTTTGCCTTTGGCTCAATTCCAAATGACGATAAAGGCAGAGTAGAACTGCACCAAAGGATATCTAAGGCTATAATTCTAATGGAAGTAGATTTTAACAACTTTTTATTTCAATGTGGCTACTGGGTTTGAAACGTCAACCTTTCCGTTAAAAGGCTAAACTCAAACAAACTTGGATCATTGATACCAAGTCAGAACCAATTTATAGCTGAACCTCTAGTGGGTTTTCAGAGGTTGTAATTAGAAGGAAGGACATTGCCCATCTTTCTTCCTTGGAGTAGCTGGTGGATACAAACCACCTGCTATAAGTTGATGGTGCAACTCCTTACTCGCTAGGCTGCCAGACTTTCCTTAATTAACAGTTAACAGTAGAACATTTTCACTACTTTGTCAGCAAGTGGAGTGCCTTACCCTACTCTGCAGTCCACGGATTCCAAACAACTTAGTGTATTCTTAATGTCCATTGCTGAGATGTCTGGAAACTTCTTTTCCAGAATTCCCAACTTTCTTTCTTTCTTTTTTTTTTTTTAATTGTACAAAAAGCATTTATTATTTTTTTCTGGAATTTCCGTTTTGGTGTTGTTTTTTTTCAGTGTTTCTATTGTCCGATTTTTTTTTAATTGTTAATTTCAATGAACGTTTACAGAGATTTGAGATTTCCATTCATTCATTGTTGCACTTTTCTCCCAGCCCCCAGTACACTCTTCTCTTTGAAGAGTAAAAAAAAAATTCCTTCATTGGTATACAAACTCCCCAAACACCCCCCCCAATTCCCAGCTTTCTAAAACAGACAACTTTTAAAACCAGTCTCCGTCTCTTAAGTCCTCGCTTTCACCACTTTGCTATTCTGCTGTCCTGCAAGTGGAGAATCTCTTTGACAGCCTAACTTTGTTGTTGCTGTTGTTGTTGTGTACTGTAGAGAAGAAGCTGACCCTCCAGAGGGTTTTCAGAGTCAGTTATTCACACGGGAGGAGATTGCCCATCCCTTTCCCACAGAGCAGCTGGTGGCCTCAAACTGTGTACCTTCAGGATTGCAATGCAGCTCCTTGCCATTAGGCCACCTTATAATACCAGAAAAAGAGAAGCATGGTTGTGCAGTGGTTGAGCACTTGAATGCAAGCCTAAAGGCTGATTGTTCAAACTATCATTATAATAGTAGCACCATTTACATTTAATTTAGATTGTCTGCTCCTCTAAGATTTTTAATTGAGAAAAGAATATAAAAACATTTAAAAAATTACAAAGAATAGGCAATAAAAAGTTAAAATGCACTCTAGATATCCAGATTATTTTCCTTAGAAATTCTGTATCTTAGGAAGTTCTAGTGGCCTAGTGGCAAGAAGCTTCACTGCACTCCCAGAGGTATGAGGTTTGAATCCACCAGATGCTCTGCTGGAGAAGGAGAGACAATCTCCTCCTAAACCAGTCAGATCTGATTTCATGGTACACACAAAAAAAATAATAAAATAAAAATGAAGAAAAAAGAAATTCTTAGGCTTCTAGTAAATCCTTATTATTTTGCCCATTCAAAGAACTGGATTTGTGCAGTGTGTACATAGTTTGTAGGCAATACACTTCTTCCTTTACACTGTTTCTTTTTCTTTTTTTCTAAGAGAATAATATATCTTGGAGATAATTCTCGACCAGCACATTTTTAATGGCTGCATAGCATTTCACTTTATCAGATCCCTATTTTAATTAGTCTCATATTTAAAATTGTAACAAGGCCATCCTTGTAGATAAATATCTATGAACATATATGATTATACTTACAAAATAAACTTCAAGAAGAGAAATTTCTAGGCCAATTTGTTGAGCTTCTCAAGTTTGATAAATATTTTAAAAGCTCCTTCCAAAGAAATGTTATCAATTTAAGTCCAGAAACAACATATAAGAGAGCCCCTTTCTACACTCTATTCTAACAACATGCAAAGGGAATTTTTCATATTTAATATTCTGATTTATAGAAAATAATGTTACATTATTGTTTTAATATTTTTATCACTCATGTTTATGATTCAATGGTATATACATGAAATATGTACATATATATTATATATGTATATACTAGTTACATATATATTAATAACAAACACATGCACACAATAGGGAGCTCTACTATTGGTTTAGTGGTAAGAAATTGCACTCTCAGCCTAAAAAGGCCTGCAGTTCAAATCTACCAGCTTCTCTATAGGAGAAAGATGAACAATCTCCTCCCATGTGATTTATGCTCCACAGTCAACTATATTGTTGTAACAATAATATGCATGTTATATACATAAAATATAGATATATTGTTGTTATTGTTAGATGCCATCTAATTGACTACAACTCATAGTAACACTTTGAACAACAAATCTGAATCTTGTCATATCCTGCACTACCCTCACAATATCTGATATGCTCAAGCCATTGGGATAGTCATGGTGTCAATCCATCTTGTTAAGTGCCTTCCTCATGTCTCTGATCCTACATCTTTCAAAGCATAGTATATTTTTCAAAGTACTGGCTTCCCCAGACAATATGACTAAAGCACAGGAGATGAAGTTTCTACATCCTTACCCTACAGAGCACCTTGGCTACACTTCCACTAAGATAGACTTGTTTGTTTTATTGGCAGTCCATGCTCTTCTGCAGCACCACAATTCAAAGACATTGATTCCTCTACTGTTACTCATAGTCATTGTCTAGCTCTCAGATGCATTATAGATGGTTGGAAATACCATACATGAATCAGGTCCCTGTTGGTCTTTAAACTGATTATCAGTTCTTCTTAGCATTTTGGAGAGATCTTTAACAGTAGATTTTCCCAAAGAAAATGTCTTTCGATTTCTTGACTGCTATTATCATGGGGAAAAAAGAGAGAGAATACTCTGAAAGCAGAGAATACCAGAGGAATGTCTGTGTTTCTTTGACTATGCAAAGACGTTTGACTGTGTGGATCATAGCAAACTGTGGCTGACTCTGAGAAGAATGGGAATCCCAGAACACTTGATCGTTCTAATGTGAAACCTATGCTTGGACCAGGAGGCAGTCGTCAGAACAGAGCAAGGGAACACTGCATGGTTCAAAATTGGGACGGGTGTACGCCAGGGATGCATTCTATGTCCATACCTTTTCAACCTGTATGCAGAACAGATTATCCGAGAGTCTGGGCTCTATGAGGAAAATGTGGGGTCAAGATTGGTGGACGATTTATCAACAGTCTGCATTATGCAGATGACACAACCCTGCTTGCTGAAAATGAGGAGGACCTGAAGCACCTGCTGCATAGGGTCAAGGACTGCAGCCTACAATATGGATTGAGGCTCAGTGTCAAGAAGACAAAGATTCTCACCACTGGACCAATTGGCAGCATCAGGGTGGATGGTGAAGAGATTGAGATTGTACACAGCTTTAGTTTGCTTGGCTCCACAGTCAACACTCTTGGCACCTGTAGCCAGGAAATTAAAAGGCGAATTTCCATGGAAAGTCTGCTGTTAGGGACCTCTCCAAAGTACTGAAGAGCAATGGTGTCTCTCTGGAGACTAAGGTGCGTCTGATACAGGCCATGGTCTTCGCAATCACTTGTTATGCATCAGAGAGTTGGACAATGACCAGGGAGGATAGAAGGAGAATTTGTGCCTTTGAGCTGTGGTGCTGGAGAAGAGTATTGAGTGTACCATGGACTGCTATGAAAACAAACAGATTCATCCTGGAAAGGGTTAAACCGGGTGGCTCCTTGGAGGCAAGGATTCTGAGGCTCCGTCTAACATACTTTGGACATGTTGTGAGAAGAGACCAGTCCTTGGAGAGGGACATCATGCTTGGGAGGGTGGAGGGACAACGCGGGAGGGGAAGGCCCTCTATGAGGTGGATTGATTCAGTGACTGGGATAATCGGGATGGGGGTGTCAGAGACAGTGCGACTGGCACACAGAGCAGAGTTTAGGGCTGTTGTGCATAGGGTCGCTATGAGTCACAAGCGACTCAACGGTACATAACAACAACAACAACATTATCCTGGGAGTTGTGAGTCCAAGG